GATGGTTGAGTAGGGACCAGAAGGAAGGGAGCTGTGTAGATATGTGGGAGCAGAACATAGCAGGTGGTGGAAAAAGTAAGTTCAGAGGCCCCTGGGTGGGAGTGTGCCTGGCTCATTGGTGGACTAGCAATGATCCAGGTAACTGCCGAGAGTGAGGCTCTCTCCGTATGTGTGCATGCATATTTGACAGCAAGGTCAAAAGGTGTCATGGGCAGGACCATGTGGGTTGGCCACAGTAAAACTCTGGGTATTCTGGGAACATGGGAACCACTGGGAGGTGTGGAGCAGAGGAAGGGCATGACCCCTGCGATGAGGGGTCTCTAGGCTGGCAAGTGGGAGGCAGGGAGCTAGGGAGGGCGTGGTAGCTGTGGAGGTGGTGAGGAGTGGCCAGATTCAGAAATCATTTGGAAGACGGGGAAGACAGGCTTTGCCATAGATTGGACACAGAGTGTAAGAGAATGAGAGCACTCCAAGATGGCTCCAAAGGTTTTGGCCAAAGCCAGAGAGAGTTGCCATTAACAGAGATGGAGAAGGCAGGGGAGGAACAGGTTGGGGTTGGAGGGAATCCCAGGTCGGATGGATCCATGTCGTTGGAGCTGCTGTTGGGTGTCCAAGTGGAGGCAGCAGGAAGGTTGTATGAGTGTGGGGTTGAGGGGAGTGCCCACAGGAGAGGCTAGAGCACATGAGAGCCAGTGTTCAGTATGCACATGGTATTCCAAGGCGTGGGGCTGGACGAGATTGCTCAGGGAGTGAGTCTACCCCGGGAAAAGGTCCCAGGCCTGTGCCCGAAGCCACAGCAGCCTGTCTCATTGGGTGCTTATTATGCTCCAGGTACCCGTGTACATTCTATTAATACTCCTTCCAAGGAGGTGCTATCCCTATGTCTACAAATGAGGGAGCTGAGGTTCAAAGAAATGAAACAATTTCCCCAAGTCACACAGCCTTACTAGGGTCAGAAAGTGCACCCAGGGCTCTGGCTCCCCGGCCCTCACAGCCCCCATGCAGACCATCGCTGGCCTTGATGCACCAGGCAGGAGGCTGGCTGGGATGACCTTGGGCAAGGCCAGATGAACTGCACTGGGGCAGCTTGCCCACCTCCGTGGGCCAAGCCGGGAGTGACTCAGGCCTTGGCTGCGTGCTCATGCTAGGAGAGGAGGTTGGCTGTTTGCCGCCCCTGCCAGGCCTGGATTCCTTTACAGGGGAGGTGGAGAACCACTCTGATCCTGGCTCCCTGGGACCTGGAGGAGGACAGGTGTGGGGTTTCTGCTTCCCAGGCCCCAGGTCATCCACAACCATGAGTTCAGGGGAGCCTCTGAGTCAGCTTCCAAGAGGTCTGATAAGCCCAGTGGGTTGTTTGCTTCCTTTTTCAGAAGCCAGTCAGGGGTTATCTCCCTTTGTTTCCCTACCAGTGCTCAGCAGCTGGGGTTCTGAGAGGTGGTATGGTTTCTCCAAGGTCACAGATCCAGCTCTGGAGCAGAGCCAAGAGACCTTGCTACCATGCTGTCTGGGTCATGTTTCCTCTGCCGAAGTGTCCTCTGGGCTATGCCCAGTCTCCTGAACCTGGGGCACACATGGCTGAATTTCTTATGCTCCTTGGCTCATAGCCCTGTGAGCCTTACTTGGCATTTTTTGCCTCTTAGGAAGTGGGTTCCTAATTCTGGCTTCTCCACGTACTGGCTGTGTGACTTTGGGCAATTTACCTAACCTCTCTGAAGTGGTTCCCACAGCTATGAAATGGAGGCAGCAACACCTGTCTCATGGAGTTGTAGTAAAGATTAAATGTGAAAGCACGTGGCAAAAGCTCATAAACCTGTCGCCTACTTGCCTCAATCCTTTCCGGTATTTTAAACTGCTTTTCATTTGAGCGGTGCTAGTTACAAAAGGCAGCCTGGCAGGGACAACTCTGACCCTGCTCCCAGGCACACCACAGCCAGGGCCTCAGACTCTGCCCTGAACTTAGCCAGGGGGAGAAAGGGAAAGTGCTCTGAGAATTGGGAATCTCTATAGTCCACCTGGTTCTATAGGCAGCCTGGGAGTCTCAGACCTTATAGAGTCTTGTGGAAATGGTGCTTCTGTAAATCAAAATGTTTCCCATTACTGTTTCTGAGCCACTCTCCTCATCTACAGAACCACCCTTTAATAGAAAAGTCTAGACTTTGCCTTTACTCGCTGTGTGTCCTCAGGCAACTCCCTCCTAGACTTGGGTCTCAGGCTCTTCACCTGTAATGTGAGGCGGGGTGTGGGCCTGGGCTGGAGTTGTCAGTCCTTTACATTTTGTGGTCCCCACAAGGATGCTTTCAATGCTTTGCACCTGGGCCAAATGGAAGCTGCTGCATGAGCTGCTGTGTCTCCAGTTGCCCAGGCCAGCCCAGCCTCCCCCGGGGCCGTGAGGATCGATATTTCCTTCCAGAGGCCTGAAAGAGTTCCAGGGATTGACATCCAGGTGCTGGGGAAAACTCCCCTAGAATTTCCCTACCCCATCCCCCTGCGGGGGCAGCTTGGCCAGTTTACCCACTGCTCCTGGCTCTCTACCAGCCTCCTGGGGCAGTGATAACTCAAATGCCACCTTCTAGGCAGTGTGCTGAGGATTATCTTATTTCATTCCCATTGAAACCCCCTAAGGGGTGCATCGAGATGAGGACATAGGGCCATGGAGAGGATGGGAGACTTGCCTGAGGCCCCACAGCTGGGGAGTGCGGAGAGGGACCTGCAGCCCTGTCTGAACCGGTGCGCGCTTCCTATAAGTGGCTTCTGGAGCTTCTCAACACTCAGAGAGGCCCAGAACCCGAGGGAGCTGTCCAGAGAGCTGCTAATGGGGAAAATGTAGGTCTTGCCATGTTCCTTCTTCCTCCCCTGGGGGTGGCCCAGGTCATCTTTCTCTGAGGGATTGCCTTTGGCAGAGTGAGAGCCGGGTCCCTCCATCTCTCTTAGTAACTTACCGGAGGGGCAGGGAGATGATTGATGGCTTTACTCCAGAAGGCCTTACACAAGTCACTGACCCCTGTGTGTGATGACACTAGGGCAGCAGACAGTAGCCCAAGGCATCAGCTTCTGGGGCCTCCTGGCCCTGAGGTCTGTGTTAGAGACTTGAGGGCAGGTCCCCAGAGCCCAGGACAAAGGCGGTTGTCAGGGTGGAGCCCTGCCTCGGAGGGCATATTGGCTGAGGCGAAGCTGCATACTCTTCTGTAGGAGATGTGGGTGTGGGGGTGTTGGGGTGTCTAAAGCCAGCTATGAGAAACCATGTCATACTTGGCTACCTTCCTGTGTTCCTTCTCACAGCAAAACTCTCTTGGACTGATCATTTGAGGTGTCTCCTTGTGAAATGGCTTTGGCCCCTCTGGGCTCTGACTTGCTCATGTGGGAAGAGATGGGATAGAGGGAGTTAGATAATAAATCATGCTTCACTCAGTCAACAGAATACTATGCAGACACTAAAAATGATGGCGTAGCCCTACATATTCTGACATGGGAAGATGGCCACAATATCTTATGTGGAAAACACTAGTTGCATAGAATTTATGGTTTGATTACATTAGTAAAATAAATTCATTTATGGTGGTATATGCAAAGAAAAAATAATGCCAGGTGCAGTGGCTCATGCCTGTAATCCCAGCACTTTGGGAGGCCGAGGCAGGTGGATCACTTGAGGCCAGGAGGTTGAGACCAGCGTGGCCAACATGGTGAAACCCCATCTCCATTAAAAATACAAAAATTAGCCCCAGGCGTGGTGGCACATGCCTGTAGTCCCAGCTACTCAGGAGGCTGAGGTGGGAGAATTGCTTGAACCTTGAAGGTGGAGGTTGCGGTGAGCCAAGATCGCGCCACTGCACTCCGGCCTGGGCTGGAGCCAGACTCCATCTCAAAAAAAAAAAGAAAAAATGAAAAATTGAGATGTAGACACACTGGAGTGTGAGCAGGTTTTCTCAGGGTTTTGATGTGCTTACAAAAACATCTTGGCCAGGCGTTGAGGCTCATGCCTGTAATCCCAGCACTTTGGGAGACCAAGGTGGGCAGATCACCTCAGGTCAGGAGTTTGAGAACAGCCTGACCAACATGGCAAAACCCCATCTCTATTAAAAATACACACACACACACACACACACACACACACAAGGCTGGGTGTGGTGGCGTGCACTTGTAGTCCTTAGCTACTTGAGAGTTTGAGACAGGAGAATTTCTTGAACCTGGGAGGCAGAGGTTGCAGTGAACCAAGATTGCACCACTGCAGTCCAGCCTGGGCGACAAAGGGAGACTAAAAAAAAAAAAAAAAAAAAAAAAAAAAAAAAAAAAAAAAAAAAAAAAAAAGGAACATTTCTATATCAGCTGTTAAGATTGTGACTCCAAGTCCTAGAAAAGTGAAAACAGGTTTGCACCTGTTTCATCAAACTCAAGAATATTATTTGATGGAATGGTCTCTTAAAATCTGCCACTTTTCTACAATTAATGAAATTACTGTAAGGCTTGGAGTAGGCATGAAAAAGTCAGAGGTGGTGTTTTTAGGCACACTCCCTTCCCAGTGGTCTGTGCTAACAGAAATGCAACCTTGGCGGTGGTTTACATGCGTAGGTTTGAGTGGGCCAGGCAGTTTTCTGTGGCAGATTTAGGTCCCTCATTGTGCTTGCTATTCAGTTCCACCCATACATGTTGTCAGAACACTGTGCTGACTCTGGGGGCTGAGGGACACACATTGGCTGGGGCAGGGGAACTGGGCGTGGTGGGGATAATAACAGAATTTATGATGTATATGGTTTCTCAAGACAACTTTGAGAAAAAACTTCTGGGATTTAAAAAAACATTTAGGGACACTGAGTGTTCCACAAGAACAAACGTGTCTGTGATATAAATAAAACATGTCGGCCTGACATTGGGGTGAGGATAATGAATTCCAGGAGTTGACAATGGCCTTGCATCTCTCTCTCTGCATCTCTCTGTTGGGCTGGTGCTTCTCAGGGGAGCGGATTGAGTTATAGAGCCTGACATGAGTTTACCAAGAGTGGGAAATGGGCCTCCCCGTCAGCCCGAAGCTCTGCAAGGATGGAGCTCTGTTTCCTCTCTCAGGCCAGAAGCTCCTGGTGACACTGGAGGGTCCCATTTCTCATCACTGCTGTCCCTGGGGTTTGGTGGAGCTCTGCACAAGATGCCTGCCCTGGTGGTGGGACCACGACATTGGGGCAGTGATGTGAGAAGATGAGAACAGGGACTAGAGATCAGAGAGGCAGGACATCTTTAAGAGCCCCTCCTGCCTCAGTCAGCTCTTCAGGGGTCCTTGGCAGTATGTGTAATGGTAGAGACCAGTGGCTTGGGGGCCATATGTCCCAGATTCAAATCCTGACTCCTCCACTAACTCAGCATCTATACCTCACTTTTTCCATCTGCAGCATGGGGATACTAGTACCTACCTTACAGTACTGTCATGAGTTGGCCCCCATAGAACGCTTAGGATGGTACCTGGGTCGGAGGAAGCTCTTGCTAACTGATAGCTGTCCTGTGCTAGTAAAGAACTGCAGGGATTTCATTATTGAAGCTGGGGAGAAAGCAGGAGGAAGAAGCAAGTCTCCCTTGAGCATGGTAGGGGTCGCGCCTCCCTGCCCTCATTTCTTAATAGCCCTTGGCCTGAGCTCATGTTTTGCTAGTCTCGGCCCTGACTCCATCTCCCTCGGTTTCAGGTGGGACCATCCGTGAAGCTGGTGCCAGGATGCCCCGGGGGTGTGGATGACCGGCCGCCCAGCCCCAGCACGGCCCGGTCCCGCATGCC